CGGCAAACGAGGCATTTTCTATGGGATAAAAGACATAATAATTACTACGAGATTACAATCATGTTCCAATTTCAAATCGCTCTTAGAATGTGAGTTTTAATTAGTGACGTACATTTTTTTCATCCAGTAGGTTTCAGCGGTGCTAAGTTTAGATATGTATTTTTTTAAGGGGGAGTAAATCATCGAATGGTTGCTCCCACCTGGGTGAGGCGGGAGGGAGTGTCATACTCGTTCGTTCCCGTTCCTACTCCTGCAATTCGAGCCGGAGCACCGGTAACCCGTTAGGTTCTCCGCGACTCCGTATCGGCATCAGTTTAGATATGTATAACTATCAAATTTTGATTCATATTATATAGAGATATCCTGACATGAAACTGCTAGGTACAATAGAATACACGTTTACAAAACACAAATCTGAAAACCAATCAATTGATGTCCACACATACATGTCACATACAAGAGACGGACAATTTTCGGAGCTGATATTGGTTCCTCCATTTGGACAAATCAAAGGGCTTAATAGATATTGCAGTGAGAACAGACTGCCTGCAGCTTTGACCTATTTTATCGACCACCATTGTCGCAAATTGAGGCTCAATCAGTCAATCTACTATAAACTAGCAGTTCATTTGAAGCTAAGTAAGCCTCTTTATCGGTTTTCGATTCCTCATTTCTGCGATATCCTTCGACAGACTACTGCTTTTAAATGGTGAAAATTCGATGCATATTAGTGACTTGATACGTTATTATTTTTTAGTTAGTTTGAAGGTAAATATAGTACCTATAGAGTTTCTTGCTCGTTATTCTCTATAGGAATCTACACTTTCATACGAGCGAATGACTTCACTGAAGGACTGGCCGACAGACCGACATTCATTTTTCATATTTCAATATTTTGTTTTGACTTTTAAACTGTCAAACACCAAGCGGTCACCGGTGACCGCAACCTATTGTTCTAAAATTGTGTCTATAATGACGGTACTCAACGAGTTAAAAGTGCCTATATAGCCTAGTGGTCTAATTGAAATACATTATTTTGATTTTGAATTAGATTGTTATTCTCTTCGTACATGAGCTTGAGACTACGTTAATGTATAAAAAGTGCTTGTTATTCAGCTGAAATCGCAACACCAGGTCTATTTCGATTTTGCTAATAAAACCGCTTCAAAAACACATTGTGTTTTTACATTTAATTTATGTAGAATGTAAAATAATGAATGTAATGTTACTGTAATTAGGTACGTTGATGCTTACCTACATGTAAAGCGTTCACAAAATTAAGTAGTATACTAATAATAAATTTGTTTAGCGTAATATTTTGTGTTGAGTCTGTCAACGTTCTCAAATTATAATTAAAAATACAAAATAGGTACATTAAAATAACATTATGATACTCGTATGAGTCCTCTATATAGGAAGAACTAGTTGTTGCCCGCAACTTCGTCCGCGTAGAAATTGATTCGTGTTTTATCCCATGCAAGCATTTAATCGGGATAAAAGTATACTATCACCGAAATCAGCCCATACTCTGCCTGTATACCAAATGTCATCCAAATCCGTTCTGTAGTTTCAGCGTGATTGACGGACAAACATCCTAACAAAGAAACTTTCACATAAATAATATTAGTGTCTGATATTTAATTTTAATAATACAATAATATTGACGCCCGCTCTTTTTAATGGCTACTTTCAAGTCGTATCTAACTATATGTTTTTTTTTAATTCTAAGTAACGGCCATTACGTTACTCGTGATTGTTTTGAAGTAAATTAGTATTTTAGGCAGACTACATCAGGTTTCATTTATAGACACGATGTTTAATGAATTTCCAAACGACAATTCAACCGATGTCGGTATGCAAACCAAAAGCAATAAGTGTTCAAATCATGCGATAAAACCACAGAATACATAATTTTGAGCTGTTCATAATGTTCATAACAGTGCATTTGTGGTCACATAAATAGGTATTGCATGAAATATTACTGGCTTTCAGGTTTGCAGTCAGTATTTAATACCAGGTATACATTACATGTAGCACAGTCTAATTATAACCCGTTCGAATTACCATTTCCATCAAAAAGCAATTAACTTTAAAATACCTACGTCACAAATGAAAATAAAACTAGTTATTTGAGTGATAAAGTTACATTTCTGTTTTTGTTTTTTGGAAAGCTTCATAGTTTAAAGTGTTATAAACATCAATTAGCGAGTTTGACCTAACATATACACCAACTTTTCATCTTTATTGTAAGCATCCAATCCAAGTTAATTTGCTTCGGAGTCGCGGAGAACCTAACGGGTTACCGAGGCTCCGGCTCTACATGCAGGAGAAGAAACGGGGTGGTTTTTAGTCAGTAAGAATCTGACACTACCTCCCGCCTCACCCAGGCGGGAGCAGACATCCGATGATTTACCCTCTTAAAAAAACCAAGTTAATTTACTCACTGTTCAAAGAGGTTACTTGACTAGTATTGAGCCAAAACCGGAGCTCATAGTCGTGCATCGTCGTATATACTGCTCTTGTTTATGATCCCTATTATCACCTGAAACCAATAGAGTAACGGTACAGTTACGTGATTGAGCCATATTAATATTTTTTAACTTACTATATATACAAATACGTTCTACATTTATAGTTCTTTGTGATACATTTATTCGTGACTAGATAACTCTCAGAATAATAACAACCACACTGTCATTTTATAGCAACATTGTTTATGATATTGTATATCAAAAGCGAATGTTAAATTGCAAAGCATTCGAAATATCAGTAGTGAAACCATAAAAAGAGTATTATTTTCGTTATTGTGCCATAAACGGGTTATGTTGGCAGTTTATTGGCAACATTAGTATAGAATGACTTAGGTGGTACTGCGAGGGCCATGCAACGTAAGAATTTGTTACAGGTGCTGCAATCCCGAAATATTCTTCGTGCTAATAAGCTGCTCGGCAGCTTCAAGTTGGACGTGGCGACAGTGTGGAGTCAACCCGGTACGTACCTTTCAAATTCATACTTTTATTATGTAAGTATGTACATACTTTTTTAAACTACTCAACCCTCGTTTACTTCTACAATTCATAACGTTACTTACCTACTCAAGTTTTTGCACATCATAATTCAAAACATTAGACTGACCGTTACATCTTCACACGCGTATCTGTCACATTTGACAGCTGACAACGTCAACATGACAGCTAGAGCCGGCGCTGATTGGATTAGAGACGTTCACTTTAGTTGAATTTCGTCGTTTAATAATAATTACATGGTAGGCAACAATTCAATAGCGCTTTAAATAAATGGTATTTAATCTCCTACCAAAAGAGTTAATAGAAAAGTCAATGTATGGAATTTACAGGTTATGTCAAGTCCATTGTGTCTGGCAACAGCTCTATAACGTAGTTAAGTAGATTCTCAACTTTATAACAAAGTGATAAGGTTAAAAATTAATATTTGAAGCCATATTTGTAAAGCCTGCAAGGCTGATAGTGAATTGTCTAGTTAAGCTTGATGGATCATACAAACAGTCTCTCCTTTTAAACCGGCTACTTAATCTTCGGTGGCTTAAGTATTCATTTTTCACTCTCAAGAAATTATAATACTATTATCATTCTATATTATTATTCAATCACAATATTATTATCAGAGTGCCTAGTTGGCCGAGTGGTCACAAGTGCGACTGTTGAGCAAGGGGTATCAGGTTTGACTCCCGAGTCGGACAAAGTATTATAGGGTCCAAAAAAAAATTCTCAGTAGTAGCACGGTGTTAAGAAATGTACCTGGTATATGCCTACCCCTTTGAGGATAAAAGGCTTAATATTATGTTATGTAACATTTGGGTTAATTAATTTATGACTTTAAACATTTATTTGATTAATTACCTGATACCTGGTGCCTGACCTGGTGAAATGTTAGGGTCTGAGAAATATTGTATATGTGTATGTACCACTTTCCTAGCAAATAAAATTGATTTTGAATTTGATTTGATTTTTATCAAAATCGCGACACATTGCGCTGGAGCCGGTTCCCCAGCTAACACAGAGGGCCAAGCACGTTCGGCGCTCTGATTGGCTGGCTCAAGAGAACCAACCAATCAGAACGCTTAACTCGCTCGATACTGTTACGATACGAATGCGATAGTTATTCGTGCTTGGCACTCAGATCAATGAACGAATAGTTCGTTACATTACGTCTGGTTACATTTTATTTTTTTCTTTGAAGGATAGGCAATCAATCAGACTGTTTCGACCCTTATCAGTTCAATTCACAGCAAATGTCAAGGATGATGAATCGGTATTTTTTTAACTCGTCCAATCAATTCTCATTGTTTGTCTTTTCGAAAACTACACACAGTAATAAATTCAGTATTCAATTCGTTAAAACCAGTTACTATAGCATCGGTGATACTAAAAGTAGAAAACCTCTTTTCTCAATCATTTTTTTTTTATATAAATGGCTACGATAACGCTTCAAAAGATGTTCTCAAAAACTGTTTTGCAATCAAACGTGACAGACAAGTAAATTGCAACTCTTCATTACACACTTAGTTACCTTCATACGAATATTAGGTACATCATCATCATCAACAGCCTATAAATGCCCACTGCTGAGCAAAGCCTCTTCTCACCCGGAGAAGGTATGAGCATAAATCACCGCGCTTGCTCAATGCGGGTTGGTGATTTCAATCTGATAATTAGAAATTATAAGCCCAGGTTTCCTTACGATGTTTTTCCTATACCGTTTGTCAGTGGTGTCTGAATAATCTTAGAAAGTACATATAACCAGGAAAAAGTCACATTGGTACCTGCTGTTGGTAGGTTTCGAACCCGCACCCTCGTGCATGAGACGTGGGCGTCTTTAGCCTCCGGGCCACCAGGACATTAGGTACATACATACATAATAATATCCTAGATTCGACGCATTCTCCGAAACTTGTGTTTTACGATGAACATCTCATGTTTACGGCCGTCCGTCCCCCGTCACGGGGCCTTATGAAGTTATGTATAAGTAATCTATGGCAGAAGTTACTGTTTCCATGTGAAGCACAAAGATATAAGGAAAATGTTTATCTTCTTAGAACTCATATTGGTGTACATAAAAACCTGTTGCCTCGAAGGCAACATACGAAGACGGTGAAAAACTTTTTCGCAAATAAGTCGTAATTGCTATGTATATTTATTATTGAAATACATATATACATTTGTAGTTATGTGTTATACATAACATAATATTACAGACCCCGAGATCAGCAGTAGCTACATAAAAATAATAGCCACTAAAAAAGGCTCAATAGGCTCACACCCGATTATATGGGACTCATAACATAAATAGTAAAAAGTGGGTTTTACATTGTACAGTGGCATAATGTACACCTCTGCCTACCCCTTCAGGAATAAAAGGCGTGATATTATGGCATGTTAATAGTCACTAAAATAGAAACATTATTTTAAAATAGTACCACTTTTACACTAAACAAAAACAAAGCAATATTTAATAGATTATAGAGTGTTGCAATATATTTTGTCCACAATCAAATTTGATACTATTGTTTTTGAGGCAGACGTGAACTATTGTCAATTAAAAACGGTACATAACGGTAGAACAATAAAAACAATATTCGGACAAACAATATTTAGAACAACACAGCGACTAGAAGCAAACAAAATACGAGCGATCAATGTTATTGTCAACGAAAATTTAATTACACGATATTGTCATACCAATCTCAGCTCTAACACAAAATTAATAGGTATTATTTAAGGATAAACATAATATAGTTTATAGCTGTTAATATTATAAATGTTTTCCTGATGTTCTCTGAATGTTTTCCATTTAATTATTTAGTGGTTTAATTATTATTATTGGCAATATGATGAGTCATGTGCCGGCTGCCCATGCGTGAGAAGAGAATGAGGGTTCGAAACCTACCAACGGCAAGTACCAATGTGACTTTTTCCGAATTGTATATACTTTCTAAAGTTATTTAGTCACCATTGACAAACGGTTTAGGAAAATATCGCGAGGGAACCTGGGCTTATAATTTCTAATTATAGTTTGATATCGCCAACCCGCATTGAGCAAGGGTGGACTTAATGCTCAAACCTTCTTCGTGTGCCAAGAGGTATTTGGTCAGCAGTGGCCAGTTGGTCACTGTGGTGGTGGTAGTTGTTAATGCACTGGACTTTGACAGTGACAAAACGAGCATAGGCGCAACGAGGCTATAAGTTTCATCCAGTCCCCTACTGGACAATAGGCGTCCTTTGTATCACTTCGTTGCGGGAAACCAAGACTCATGTCGCAGAGAACCTAACGGGTAACCGGGGCTCCGGCTCGACGCAGACGCAGGAGAAGGAACGGGGTGGTTTTTAGTCAGTAAGAGTCTGTCACTCCCTTCCGCCTCACCCAGGCGGGAGCAGTCATTCGATGATTTTCCCCCCTTAAAAAAAAAGACTCATGTCCCTGAGACGCGCCGTACTTCAGTGTTCCGGTGTATTCATGGTTGTATGTACTGTATATCCTGGCTTACAGGAGTTGCAGTGGTTTTGAGAGGGTGTGGCGGGCTTGTTGTCCCTTTAAAAAAAAGGCGTCCTTTGCATAAATTTGCTAAAAACTTAACTTAGAGATTGCAGTTTCAGATTTATCAGAGAGCGCTACTGCTCTGTCTCCGTCAAATTATACGACGCCCACAAGAAGAGTCGGGGTGCTGATTAATCTATTCTAATGAGTACTGTTATTTAGGTGGTACTAGCTTGTGCCAGCGGCTTCGCACTGCTTCACTCTGAGGCATAAAAGTGGCCCATGTGTTATAACAGACCATAAATTATCACTGTTCCAAATTTCATTCCGATACCTTCAGCCATTTTGACGTGAAGAAATAACAAGCAAACGAACATACAAACATACTATCTTTCGCATTCATAATATTAGTAGGATTAGGTATACGATGGATTCATGTAAAGGCCAACCAGTGTTGGTTTGAACATTAATGTAATTGGGCACTTTCCTCAATCAAAAATAAGTTATTTCTACTGTTCAATACAATTAAATATTAGAAAATATTCACACTCTCATTAATAGATTTTATGACTAACTTAATTTTTGTATTTTTTGCAGCAAATTTTTAAGTCATTTGTATGTTCCTTGACGCTAAAAAAACGTGATGTCACAATACACAATCGCGTACAAAATTCATAGAAAACTGTCGTTTTTGACAGTTCAAATAAAGTATTGAATTTGACTAGTTGGCAAGTACACAATTTAAGAGTTTATTCGTAATAGAATATTGCAGTACCCATGTGAGTTTGCTACGTAGGATTTATGTTCTACACAGACGCTGAGGGACATCGAAAATGGATTTGACTTGTTGTAACATACACAGAATATTAAAAAAGCACCAAAAAATTGTTTGTTTAAAATCGATGCCACTTATTGTTTTGTTTAGTAATAGAAATTTTTAAGGGCCGGAGTTTTCAATGCTTTGTTAATTTGACAAATGTCAATTGTATTCTACACTTAAAAATTAACTGATGATTAAAAATCTTCAACGAATTGACGATTACTGATCAGAAATTTTGCATGCCCTGGTTCACATAAGCATTGTCGATAAAAAAACGTACTAATACATATAAATGATCATATTGTAGTAACGTGAATGACAGCAACTGAAAAAGGTGAGTAAAATTTACGTCATAACAAGAGAATAAAAGAAAGTAGGATTACTAAAAAGAATATAAAACGAATATTAGTGGCAATGTCGGGAAGGGCCGGACAAGAAAAACATACAAACCTCTTTGAGAGGTATTAAAAGAGGGCAGAGTACTCATAACTGACGTGTGTATATGACTATATTTATGTAGGTATAATGTGAGTAACAAAGTATACCTATAATAAAAGTTGTAGGTAGCCTGTAGAGCAAAACGTATGTTTTTATATTTTGTATGTTGTATAAAAGGTCTGTTAGAGAATACGTGCGACTACGTAGAACTCTAATTAT